TTCTTTCTCTGCCTCCCCATCTTCTCTCTCCCTCTCTCCCTCGCCCCCCCCCTTCTCGCAACACAACCACATACCCTCTCTATCCCCAATCTCAGCTGTGTAGCTTATATAATTTACAGAAACACAGCTCTCCAACCATGCGCAACAAATGACCTACTCTGTTCACAATCTCCCCTTCCTGGCCCAATGATTATGAATGTAAACTGCATTTACGGTCCTTGTCTGGTCTATTTCTTCTCTGCTCTGTAGTCATGTACAGCGAAGTATAGTCCTGTGCCTCCTCTACTCCCAATCTTAGATATATATAATTGCCTACGTCAGCTATAATCTCTATAGCTCTCCCAATATAAAAATATCATAAGTTTTTCGTAATAATTTCGGATTTCATTTACATTGAGTCTTGAAGCTTTTAAATATACACCAATTCCGATTTGTCCTTTAAAAGCTACATTTTTTTTCAACTTCATAGGTTAATGGGAAAAACTTTTTTCGGAACGGGTAACCTTTTTGTGCGTGACTAATATGCCTGATATGTGACAGAATAGGGCTATATGGGGTTCTTATGTGAAGAAATAGTTGTAAGAGAGGCGGAAGAAGCCAAAAATGCCTACATTACAAAATCCATAATTTGACCTGCGTCAGGACTTACACTTACAGGATGTAGATACACCCCTCTCCCCCCCCAACTATTTAACACAAAAAAGAGAAAACATTGCTTATTAATAATGCTCGGACCAGAACCCATAAATTCACTTACAGTTAATTTAGACAAATGATTCTTAGTTTAGTTTTAGTAAGTGTTTTACGGCATTACTTGCAACACAATAAGGTCATATAAGTGCCGAAGATTAGAGGTGTTACAAGAGAGTAACAAACACAAAAAAGAAGGAGGAGAGATTAGGACGATAGTTGTTTGATAGGAAAGAAGAAGCAAACCACACCAGAGCACTGGAGCAGGCAGTCAAAATTTTCTTTAAAAAAACCACACAAACAAAAACAACAACAACAACGACAACAAAATATAGTATGATGTTTTTGAGTTACACGAGCTTTAGCTATGCGTACTGCCACATACCTTCTTTTTTCTCTCAATCCCCACTACCTAGCCTATTCCTTCTCTGCTTTTTCGCCATGTACGTGAATAGCATACAACCACATTACTCTGTGCCCAATTCCTATTGCCTCACATGTGTTTACTTTGCTCTCTCTACCCCTGGGGCTATCTTACATTATGTTACGACTTTTTTTTTAATCAATCCACCCTCCGTCCTTTGTTCAATCTTGTTCAATTCATCTCACGCCTGAGTGTGTTTTGTCACCATTTCCTGACCGATAACAACGTATCTCATGGGCAATTCCTGAGATATCAGCTCGTTGGCCGAGTAGTCCTTACAGAAGTTATATGTTCCAACGCCTGTTCGACAGATTCATTAGTGTACAATGTACCCCCCCCCCCAACCACACACACAACTTGAATGAATAATTTTTACTCTTTTGTTTGTTAGACGTCATTGTTATCTTTAATGTTTCAGGTCATTCAAAGATAATACAATTGGTCGCTATCCTGAAAAATGCAGTTTGGAGAAAATGGAAGGTAAATTTTCGCTCCTCATTCAGTTCCTTTAAAAGACAAGAAGAGTATTCTCTATAGCCAAACAAATATACACACCAATGAAACAAAACTTCTCCTGCCGGTAGGGCAATGCCCACTTTTTTCTTACCGTTTTGGTAACTGTAATACGAGGAAATTGAAAGAGATAGAGAGAGAGAGAGGGAGAGAGA